GAAATCAATTACCTCAATGACTCGGTAGCTTAACGCGCAGATTCCTCTCATTTTACCGTCTTGAATACATTATGTATAAAGCATTACCACAAGACGATTTAAAGTTACTCTCTTCACGTGTAACAATTCTTAGGCTATATATACAAATATTATATAGTAGGCCTAAAGTATTTTTCATTGTTGTCTGTGTTATTTTAAGCTAAGCTTTTTGCCGGCATACGAACTATAAATTATCCATCATTCTGGTAATTTGTATGCTAACATTTCAATTCTTTCTTTCTTTTTTTTCCCTTTTTTTTTGAATATCAAGTTTTTTCCAGTCCAGTACCAACGTATTGCCGATACATTGCGAGACCAGTTCTTGTGCAATCATGCATGTTATTTTGCTTTGAAATAATTATAAGCATCACTGACAGGTACCGTATCGCAGTTGTTAAAACAGACTTGAGTTCGTACGACGGAAAAAGACCATGGTGATCTCCAGGACAAGCATGATATAACATAAATACGAATAGCATAATTGGTAGGATAAGCAGACGTCTTTTTATTTGTAACTATACTGTTTTGTATTTACGAGTATTCTCGACTTTTACCAAAACATTGTTTATGAGTGAGCAGTATTATTTACAGGTAAGTATTTTTGTTCAATTAATGTTTCTCTAAAATATCGATTCTAGAGCAAGATGTCTTTTGTAATTTAAGCGGCTGCGTACATCCTGTATTTATAAACTTAGAATAGTATAATACTGTAGGAATTTTGTTCATGATTTATTTATTGAACAACTTCCGTACCTTTCAATGAATATCCCAATACCGTTATTAGGCCTTTAATGAACGCTATTTTGTTACACTACAAAGCCAGAGGCCATGATTTAAAAGGGTTTTCAACTTCGCAACGTTTTACAATTAACTTACCATTAGAATTAAAAAATATCTCTTATGTGAAAAAAATGGTCATTCAGGCAAATTCTTTATGGTTTTCAAAATATTGTATTCAAAGTCAGCCCAAAATACTGTTGATCGCATTTTTTAATTATAGATTCGAGATTTTTATTATATCATTGACAAGTAAATATGTACATTTTGGCAGCCAACCATTCATTACTCAGCCATTTTGGTCTATCTTTTACTGTTTCGTATTTAATTGGTACAACGGTCGAGAAGAGAACGCGATGTAACAAGTCATGTCTAGGTTTACCTCGACAACATTATTGTTTGTAAAAAAACTGTTGGAGAGGGGATAAACCACCTTGGAAATGCACTTACACGATTAAAAGATCTACAGCCCAATGATCACACTATTCAAACGAAAAATTTGCATTTAGGGTATCATGATTGCGGTTGTTACAACATTCCCTGTCAACATTACTTCCACTTTACGACCTGCTATACTATAATTAAGTAAGAGTGACAATTATCAGATACCAACGCAAGTGATGGGTGTTCGAGTGTAGTAACACAGGTACAAAATAATAAACAATAACGTGGGAATCGAATGGTGCTTCCTTACAAAAAAGACGTTAATACAAATTCGAAATCAGTAACAAAGCAAAAGTATAAATAATTATATTCAGATCTAAGAAGCAATTAATGTGATTTTAAACTACCGTTTGAAATATGTGGCTGGGAATAAACATAGCATAATGTATTGCTGGAAAAACAATTTTCTTCACCAAAAAGTACGATACCCTTTTAAAAAGTACCCCTTATTACCTTTCTTAAATAACTCAGTAGTGAGAACATGATATCATAGTAATTACTGTTTGGAAGCTAAATTATTTACTTAACAATTTAAATTATTTACAAACTAAATTATTTACTTATAATTATTTACTTCTTTGATGTAATTGTCACGCGACAACCAACGTTTAGTTTTATTACGTTTTCTACTACAAATAACATTAGAGTTTTCATAATTAAAATCAAGCTTCCATTCCTTTGAGAATTTCATGAAATATATCACATTTTAAGTCAGTTTCACTATCCGATATCATTACTGCATCATCGGCTCAGATTAGGAGACAATCAAAACATCCTTCTGATCATGTAACGTTTTAGAAAGATCAATGCATATCAAAGTAGACCTAAGGGGATAGGCCTATATGGAACACTGTTTACGCAACAATTCCTCAGGGATAGCACGCAGCCTTATAGCCATACTTGTTATAAATGGGCAGATGTGTTCCTCATATAGAGTTTTGTCTGAAACCAACCTAAATTTCATTTCAATTGAAGATCTGATTTTCTTCTATAAATTCGGATATCAAATGAGTTGAATAAAAATAGTGGAAACGCAAAATTTAAGGTTACATGTCCCTATAATATTTAATGAATTAGTTTAAATACTTAATTAGTTATTTTAATGATATAACCGCTAAGACCACGTACCTGATGTTAAAAAATGAGTAAATAAAACACCATTTAGTGATACAATTTCTGATAGACTGTCATGGAAGCCGTGTGCTCAATGTGGAAGAATCAAGTTGTGATAGCTAAGCAAATAGACTTGAGTTGCTGTTTTAACAGAAGCATTATGATATGAAGTAGGCTACCATGTCAGTTTACATACAGAATAAATAATCTTGAATTGAATTGCAGAGATGTGAAATTTTTAGAAATTGACAAGCAATACGTGGCTACGCAACACAACTACACAACATCCGGGTTGAAAATGTATTCGCACATTTATTAACATAATTATTTTATCATGGATCATTATCGAAACCAGGCGTATTGGGATTAATATTAATATATTGCGTTTGTTGAATAAGATTAGTTTTGTACTTTTGAGTTCACTTGGAGTTTTATTTTACGTAATTACTCATCTATGATATCCATACATATTGTATGATAATACACTTTAAGCTCATTAGCATTGATCTAGAGTTTTTTTTTTTAAATTATACAACATCAATGTCAATTCTCGTAATTTTTTTAGACCATTATTCTACATTGCAACTTGTTGTGCTTTTCATTAATTATCAATCTGAAGTCAAATTTTAACAATTTCTTTTGAAAAATGTCAACAATTGGATTCGACTTGGGCAAGTTCAACTGTATTCTTAATTTGTATATATTTCTGTGGTAGAGTTGAATCTTTTTCTTAGGCCTCTTGTTAATTTTCTTTGTTACGGATGCACCTCCAACGCGGCTGACAACGCCACTGATATAAAAGTATATCCGAATAAATAAAATTATTATTATTATTATCAATCAAGATTGAGCAATCTCATGTTCGTGGATGATAGTAAAGTAATGAATTCGATGCCTGAGGAGGTTGTTTGTGGTTAAATAAAGTGGATGTATAACCTCATATATGTGGAGCCTGAATTTGATTGATTTGTGTATGAAAGTATTATTTACACAAGGAAATACTGTCTCTTATACACATCTAGATGTGTATAAGAGACAGTATATATATATTGGTGTGGAGATCGTATACGTCAAACAAACGACTTCTTGTTAGAGTGCCAGATAAAATATTGTCTCTTATAACGTCTGTTCATCTGCTGGCGAAGTTTTTTGACGATTTGGAGTAGTGAGCCAGAATGGCGTTGTCTGATGTCAGATTGCAACAAAAAAAACAAAAAAAAAAACATTCCGAATCTACAACTTTTAACTTTTCTTTATTGACATTCATCAAAACATAATGATATGGTCAAATTGTACAAAAGAAATATTAAATATTAAAGTTGTGTCTACAATACTATTACCAAATGTGTGGATTTGTTCACTTCAGGTAACAATATCTTGGATGTTGAAAGGTGTGTTTAAATGAGAAACGGTAGACCTAAAAAATCAGTACCAAAGTTGTACGTGAGATATGATTAAAGATCACTGAATCTGAAATTATTATAATAAATAATGTAATAAATATGAAACAGCTGTTTACTTCACTGAACGTTAAAACTTACTGTTCGATGATCGAAATTTGTTTTCTAGATGTCTAAGGACTGGTTGTTACATCTCTGTAAAAGTTATTTTAAGAAAATCAAGAAGAGCGAACACCGATTAAATAATCTTCTAACGCCAACGCCTGCTCTGTCCAAAATTAAATTAAAAGTGAATTAAGAGCCAAGAAATTCATTACTAACCATGGTATTTTTTCACCAATGGTAAAATTTACGAATCGAATATAATAATAATATAATCTGTGTCCGCTCGTCTTTAAAAATTTATCTTGGTCTACGTGGCCCCCTGAATTTGAAACTGACTGTATTATTGCTATACCAACTTTTTCTCAATGGCTTAAACTTGTGTATGTATGAATATTATATGCGTATGTGTACATATATATGTGTATATATATATATATATATATATGTATATATATATATAATGGCATTATCAATAATTACTGTCTTTTCTTAATTAAGGTCTCAGTGGTTAATTATGATTATTTTCTTTTTTTATTGATTTTTTTTTGTAATTAAAATAATTAAATGACCATTTTTTATGTATTCTTTTTAAATTGGCTTTTTGCAATAAATCTTTTTTAAATGATTTTTTAATTGCAATTTGAATTTTGATCTCAATTTATAATTATAATGATTATTTTTTTTCTTTTCTTAATTGATGCTTTTTCTAATTTAAAGTATTAAATAACAATTTTGGATGTTAATTTTTATTAATGGGCATTTTGCAATAATTTTGGTTGTTGGTCTTTAACTTTCGGTTTTTTTTCTCTTGATGTACATTTTTGATGTTGACCACCTTAAGTACAATTTAAATTTTATATTTTTGATGTTGAATATTGACCTTATTTTAGTTCTATTTGAATCATGTGTTAATTGATTTTTTTAAAGTACATTTTGGATGTTTTTCCCCCGAATATTGGTGTTTGTCTTGAATTTTGAATGTTTTTATCTTTTCTTATCCTGTAAATTGTCTTATCCAATCACTATGTTCGATTGCAATGATTTTTTAATTTGAATTTGAATTTGTTATTCTCTTGACCACAACCGATATAAATTAATTTATTTAGTGACCTAATGAATGCATCTCTTCTGAAAGGTCATGTATTATTTACACAAGGAAATATATGTACTAAATTGCTAACGATGGTATGAGGAAATATAAAATATAAATTCATTAACATAATATGTAAGGAACGCTATCATATGTGACTAGAAACCACATGTTTTAAATACAAAACAACTTCCGTGACGAAACTTAAAATGAGTTAGCAATCAAGAACGTTTATTTTGTTTCTTTATACTGGGTAGTTCGTTCAGTAGATATCTATACTGCTTTCTCACAGGGGCCAGTTATGCTTTTCCCCTCTCCCACTGGGGTTTTTTTTTTCAGTTAGAAGGGTTTTCCGAGTTGCTAACTCGGCATAAACCCGTAGGACGATTCGGGAAGCTCGGGGAGAACTCGTACCTACTCGTAGCAGCTCTGAACTCGTGGCGCTAATTTTGAACATGTTCAAAATTAGTGCTACGAGTTGACAACTCGTAGTAAACTCGAAGGACTTGTAGGGAACTCGTATGGTACTCGGAGTACTCCTACCTAACTCGAAAACTACTCGGGATGCAAGCACCCCTAAACGAGTACGAATTAACATACTGAGGGTTAGGGAGTGGGATTGTTTTAGTCCTACTGTAAGGAATTTAACACAGAACTAGGATTGAAAAGCATCTAACCACCAAGCTATGGTGGTGAATGTTGTGAGATCTGTGGTTGTGGTAATGTTTGTCAGTAAATAACGTTAACATAATGTTGCAGCAACGGTATTTACGGACAAAACTGTCCAACAAAGTCGTAACATTGTGGTGAATCCAGGGGCGGTGGAGATATCACATGCAATGGTAACAGTCAGATGGAAAGCGTTGGTTTAGGTTTACACAATTTCACTAAATGTTTGCCTGTAGGCCTGGCCTAATGTGTATATCTATGCATAATAGGCCTATACTATACTAATGTATGTACTAATCATATTAATTTGTTTTTATAATTATTTCTCATCAGATATTTTAACAAAAATGAACGAGACACAGCAGATGGGATCATGGCACAATCACCCTGCTATTTTGTCGACGCGTTACATTATCGGCATCGTGGGTATACTAGCAAACCTTCTCGTCGTTGTAGTATTCAACTTAAAGAAAATTCACAAGAAATCATCTACACATTTGCTGATATACCACCAGTCTTGGGTGGATATGTCTGGTTGCCTTGCTTTTGTCATTTATTATACAGTGGACCCTCCAGACGGTGAAGGCGGCGACGTTTTCTGTAAAACACGAGCGATATTCTGGCATCTTTTGTACGTTTCGACAAACAACTTAGTATTGGTGACGATTGAGAGGTATGTCGCCGTACTGCACTCAAATTGGTATAGAGTGAAGTTCAGTCGACGCCGAAGAAAAGAAATCGTATTGTTTCTCCCTCATGTAATTGCACTGATAATGTCTGCGTACCTGGTAGTAGCCGCGCAGGTTGACGATGAAAGACCGTGGCTTTGTGAGTACAACGTAAGCAACGAATCTCTCCAAATATTATCTGGTGTAATCGTGTTTCTTATTTGCTTTCTCATACCAACCACAATAATGATATTCTGCTACGCACGCATTTTTAAGGCGATCAGAAGTAGAGCGCAAGGTAATACTGCACAGTCGCTGCCACATAGGCCCAGTGTATCCAACAGCAGTCAGTCCAGCAGAATGTCCAGTGGGCTGTCCTCTAGCACAGCGTCCAGCGGGGTGTCCTCCGCAGGGACAATGTCCAGCGGGGTGTCCGCCTCCGGCACAATGTCAAGCGGGACGTACACCAGCACAACGTGTGGCGGGCTGTCCTCCAGCAGGATGTCTACCAGAAGACCGTCCGATTTCAATTCTGGCAATCCTCGAAGCCGGCTGTACACTACAGCACAGAAAAATCTTATTATTACTTTGTTCTGCGTTTTTATTTCGTTTCTCATTTGTATCACACCGAATTTTACGTTGTACTTGGTGCACGCGATATGTAATTGTTTTCATTACCATTCGTATCCACTGCACGAGATAACAGTAACGCTCCTCGCTGTCAACCTATGCGTTAACCCTTTCATTTATGCGTTCAAGTTCAACGATTTTAAACATGGTTTTACCTTGCCGTTCCAGACATACGTTGAACAGAGATCAGTGGTACTGAGGCGGACCCTGAGATCACACCACGAAACTTATGAAGTTGCACGAAATAGGCCTAATTCAGTTATACAGGAAAACGGACAAGTTGAAGTAACTGAGTTTCAACGCTGTGGACATGTAACAGATTTGAAATAAAAATCTGCTGTTATATTTTCATTAGGCCTATGTTTTTGCAATATAAATACTTAGCTAAACCTGTATTTTACGGTATGTCCCAATGCATTTTCGGATATCATAGCGCTTATCATTTATAGAATTAAAAAAATATATTATTTAATTAAAAAAATGCTTTAAACATTGATCAAGCCACATTTCCTTTAATTTGTGATGTAAAAATATGTACAAATTTAGTGTCTTACTGAAGACCATTAGACTTCCACTACATCATTAAAGTGAGAAAACCGTAGCAACCAACAATGATAATTAACAGCAATCAATAATTATGATATTAATGATGATGATGATGATGAAACCAAACAAAAAAATAAATTGTCTGTTTGCCCTTTTTTTTTAAAATTATAAATATGGGCGGGTGGAAAAAGTTTTTTATTTATTTATTTATTTATTTTTTAAGTACTCATCAAATGGAATAAAAATAGCCCACAGAGGCCTAGAATGACAATATCTTACATTAGACAGCAACTTTAGTCTAATTTGTTAGATTTAATTTGTGAGTTAGGGGCGGGTGGAGAAGGAGGGCAAACGAACAATTTTTTTTCATGGCCTGATGACGATGATGATGATGGTTATAATGGAGATGATGATGACAAAGGTAAAAAGAGTGCTCCAGGTGATATTAAATAAAGATAACAATTATGATACCGAATGAGTTTAATGACGCTTTTCCATTTAATCAAATCCGTCTTACCTAATTAAATCATGAGCAATGTCAAATGAATTTAATCCACTTCCAAACAAAAGTAAAATAGGGTGAAAACATTTTATGCCACCGTTACAATCCGACACAAACCTATTTATCTTGTCTTTCTTCTCTGACCGTCAATATCAACAATACCTTACTTTGGTACGAAGAAGAGGAGCTAACACATGTGGACGTTTATACGTGGCTTTGAGTTCTGGTCGTCATTTGTTGCTAAGTTGCCATTGCTGGCTTAGGTGTCATGACCAGCTACTAATCGCTTGTGCTAAACAAATCTTCACCAAGCAAGCCAAATTACCAGTCATGTCATATCATTATTAATTGACTTGCTTAATTATTTTATTATATTTCCATAATGTGTTAAAATAAGCATGATTAAATACGCCTAGACTATATAAATGTATATAAATATATGTATTATTCGCTTTGTAACAGTAAAAAATAAAACAACATTCGAAATTTCATTGCACAGAGAAAATTTAGGAAAATTGCTGAATCTGTGTGGTTAAAGAGAAACATTTTTTTAATGAAATAGAAACTGTACATTAAGCATGCGAATGATAAGAGGACCTACCCACACATATGAGAATAATGGAATTAAGACAAGGATAGAGATTGCACGAGCCTGACGATGAATAATATTATTATGATTATAAATAAAGCAATCCGGTTCCTAGTCCACATATCAAGCGCCCTGAGCATCTTATGTTAGATGGATTTGGCGCTAAACTATTATTATTATTATTATTATTATTATTATTATTATTATTATTATTATTGTTGTTGTTGTTGTTGTTATTAATTATTATTATTATTATTAATTTTTCTATATATTAAACGCCATACTAGAATGTAAATGTTCTTTTCGCCTGTATATATTGATATCAGTGCAGAAGTAATTTTTATTTTTCTTTTCAAACAACATGACAATATAAGTTATATCTATATATATATATATAGTTATCCAAAAATTTTATATATAATATATATATAATATATACATTATAGGCCTATATATTATATATAAGTTATAAGTCCAAAATAAGTAACCCTTGAAATATGTAAGTAAGCAATATTATACCGTTAAAACCCACGAATAGTCAAATAGATCGGACATTATTATAATATTTAAATATTCGTTAAATTGTTAACAATTGAAATTTTATAATTTTGGAATCTGAGGACCATTGCACCTATCTTTCAATCGGGAAACTTTTTACCGGGCTATACTTGGGTTACTTTTCTTAGAATCAGGAGGTCATTTTGGGGTGGAGGAGGGGGGGGGGGGGCGAATTTTTCCCATACCAATGATGTGAATTATGTAGCAGTGGCGTAATGTCTATGCGCTTTCATGGGGCGGTCCGAAAGGCCCCCGAACTCTAGGTGCCCGAACTATAGGGGCCCGGAAGGGGAACCCACTACCCATAGAGTCCTCGCTCTACACCCTGACCCAAAAGGGCTTGTTAATACAAGAGCATATTGTGTCTCTGACATCGGCTGTATCATATTATATCATTCAGTGGTGGATAAAAGGAGCCAAACCCGCAACCGTCCGATCCCGGGTTCCCCTTAAATTGTGATATGACATCATTTATTTCGTCGTTAAAAGCAGTTAGAACACAATGACAAACATGATTAAATTCCACAAGTCCACAATGTAAATGTAAGGGCCCCAATCTCCGAAAGCCACAGGGCCCCGGCCCCATCGTTACGACACTGATATATAGGACGAGTATACTACTTTTAGGTCAGTATTAGGACACATTCAGTGCCTCTTCAATTCGAGACCCCTCTAATAATCGTTCTCTGAATAAAAAAGAACAGTAATTTGAAACTGAACAATGATTAAAGCGGAAACCCAATATTTAAAAAAAAAATTTAAGAATTCAGTGACAGTAACAAGTCTCCTTATTGTCGGAACAAGCAGATACCATTTATCAGCCTCATGAATTGGCTTTGTTTATGACTTTGTTATCTATAGCCTAGGGAATATTTAGGGTTTTATTTTCTATTTATGTTTTGTCGTAGAATGACGTAGACTAACTCTTGTATATTGCGAACTATTGTTATCTGTCCTTTCGTACATTCTGTACGATTGCAATAGGGTCGCCTTATTATGTACCTATTGAGGATTGAACTGCATCTAATACTTCCAGTCATTCAGAATAACAATCTAAACAGTGGACCATGCAGGGTTTAAACTCCAAAGTTGAGAGCATTTTTATAGTGTTTTTGTTAGCTTTGGTGGCTGTGAGTAAGTGCATGTCTATTCGCCCTGGGTCACATAACTATACAAATAGACATAATAGTTTTTTTTTTTTTTTTGTTTTTTTGTTTTTTTTGTTTTTTAAATTGAAAGAGAAATTTTAAATTCAGATATTCACTGCAGTAAAAATTCCCCTGTAATAATTATCTCGCAAAAAGTCCCGGTGAAAAAGGAAAAAGGGGTCTCAATTAAATAACATAACCTCACTTTTTGTTTAAAAAAGGTATGAAATATTTCACAATACTTAGTCTACGTCATTCTACATGGGTCTAAAAAAATAAAAAATAAAACCCAAGATACACACAGATAACAAAGTCATAAACAGAATAAATCCAGTAGACAGGTAAAAATTGCCTCAATTGACGTAAACACGCCTATTGCTGACATTTGTAATAAAATACAGGTACCGGTATTTTACACTGACTATGTTCAGATAACGGTATAGTAAAACAAAAGTGACTCCAAATAGAAAATGAGGCCATATCAGTTTTAGTTTTTAGTTTTTACTTGGAATCTCTTTTATTACATTGGCACATATAGGCCTATCCAAAATGATGGTGCATCCAAAAGAGAAAAATCAACATCAATCAGCAGTCGGTAATGAGGAATAATAAGGTAATAAGGTAATTTGGAATAATAATAAACCTTAATTATAATACCGTACCGTACTCGCGCGAATAAGCGCCTCGTTTGAATAAGCGCCCCTATCGAATAAGCGATATTAAGTTAATTAATATTAAATTAAGAAATATTAATTTTAATAAACGGCCCCTCAATAACCCAATCAATCCTGGGACTGTGGATGTTGGCATGATTTGAGGTGTGGAGTGGAATCACATTCTCCTTTAGTCAATATCAAAATGAGGATATTTATCTTTGACAGAATGACGAGAGCTCCCTGGACAGACAGTATATTTCCAACTTTCATCTTCTTTCATTTGTCTATAGCCTAGTCATATTACTCCTTTTCCGACAATTAGCACCTTTAACACATTCTCATCTAAGTTTTCAAGAAAACCTGCAATGATCATGCCGTCCTGCTATTCTCAATAGACCGATGGCGAACAAGCTAACCACCACCACTAATTTCATCTGCTATTCTGCTGTTACGTAATACTGTACTCACAACATTCTTGTCATGACAAGCCATGCTCTCTGGACGATTATCTTTTCCGCCGCAGCACTATTCGTAATTTGCGGTTTCCTGATGTCCTTATTTAATCGTTTTTCATTCAAAATGTGCCTCTTGGATTTAATAAGTTCTCATAAGAACCCCTTGATTTTCGTCTATTTCCATTAGCGCCCCCTCAGTTTTCACTCTGTTTTTATAAGCGCCCGTTCGAATAAGCGCCCCGTTTGAATAAGCGCCCCTCAAAAAGTGCAAAAAATATTTTAAGCGCAAGGGCGCTTATTCGCGCGAGTACGGTATTTTGTTTTATAATTTATTATTTAAGAGTCTGAGTATAAGCCCAGTTGTACTGTACTGTAGTGTAAAGCGAAAAAAAACTAAAGACAGTGAATGCTTTGAAGATGAATACGATGTTCCTGTAAAAATGCACAATGAACCGTAAACACAACTAACTCATCGAAGCGTATTGCTATAAAAAGCATCGTATGAATGGAGTCAATCAATACTGATGAGTTTTGTCATTAACAAACGCAAGAAATAGCAATTGTCATGCTATTTCCTTCTTCCTGTGGATAATCATACCAGTATACAACCGACAGGCCGCGTTCGGATTAGATAAATTCAGTTACTGTACTTGAAATTGTTTTTAATATTTACATATATGATCTATATTCCCTGAAACTGGAATTGATTACAATGAGTATTTGAAACGACTTCAAACAAAGGCACGCGCTCTTGTGGTGCCTTCGTAAAAGTAACATACATCCTTAAAACGAGACACTTAATACAATAGAAAACGTCACAAAATTGAAGCAAATGTTGAGTATTTACACAATTGCTCACCTAAAACACCCCTTTAAAATTGTATTAAGAATCAGTTTTAAACAAATATATACCCTTTAATTTAGGCTATAGGCCTAAAGATATGCGAGTCTTTATATAAACATTCCGTTGTCTGTATATTGCTGGTTTGTATATCTAAATTTAAGTAGAAGGTATACAAAACTATATGTTGTCTCAGGCTAAACAATTCAAATTATTAACTAACTTAGACCACTTCTTCGAGGTCAACTATCCCTTACTACAAACAACATACTGTGTTTGACGATGTTCATTACCGGACAATATTCCTTTCCGTATTTGGCTTGGCTCCCTTGAGAGGATACTTGTTATATTTTGTATTAGGCCTAAATATTAATTTCAATCCTTAAATAACAAAAATAATATCCTCAAAATAATACTATTTCATTCGGGTTTTTGACACCCTTTGAGTCATAAATTAATATCAATGCCAAGGGTGGTCCAGGATTTGCCTGACGGTTTCCGATGTGCCAGGGTGGGAGATAGAGAGTAAGCAGGCCCGGGTAGTCGGATGTCGCTCTATTAATTTTTCGGAAGCAGTCCAGAAGAAGGAGAATCCCCCGGAAACTATATCATGTTAAACAGTTTTGGGTATTTTTCAAAACTTTTTTAGTATTTTTATACCTGAACAACGTGTTTACCGTCACTCAAATCACTCTTAATACCTAGAAAACAATTTAGTGATTAGTTACTTATCAGGGGTGGCGCCAGGATACCCGGCGGCGTGGGGGGGGGATATCCCCGACGGGGGGGGGATTCCCCGACGAGGGGTAAGATTCCCCCCACGAAAGCAAAGTGGGCGTGGTCGAGCTTCGATTAAAAGGTTTCGAAAGTGGTTCAGGGGAAAGGTCCCCGAAAATGTTGACAACTTAGGGGTTTTCAAAGGCTTATTTAATCGATTTTAGTGTCTACTAATATGTAGAAAATACATATAATTTTTTTTTTCTTCCCGACGAATTGTACTTTTTCTCCCCGACAGGGGCCAGCTCTCCCCAACGAGGGGGAACCCCGCTGGCGCCATTCCTGTTACTTATCAGTTTTAGCTACTTTCACTATTTTTAAATTCAGAATTAACTACCTTATTCATATAAGAAAACCAAATTTAGTAAATTATTTTTAGACGAGTTAGAAAGGCGAAATCAGATTAGTACCGATACTATAGTTTAGTTACTATTAAAGATATCTTGCTTGACGAAAATATTAAGTTTTGATATGTCCAGACAATTGAGAAAAGAGGAATGGTGTACTGTATCTGTCTCTTATACACATCTAGATGTGTATAAGAGACAGCCAACTAGGTCATCGGATCAAAAATTTAAAAAAATAATTTGCCTATCCAAATATCTGTAACGCTATTTTGATTGCCAATCCCTCATATTGTGGTCTAAAAGCACATTTAGGACCAAATTAAGCCATAAAAATTCTCTCCATGAACCCTAACAGGGATTTTTTTTTTTTTTATTTCGGGCCGTCGTCGCTTAGGTTCGACCCCTCCGTCGAACACTTCGGACACTTGTCGGAAAATTTCTGGCGCTGGTGGTACGGTTGAGGTGTTTCGACAAAAAATGAGTATCGAATGCATTCTCTGCGAGCTGCAACTGCAGCTGCGCCGGTGCGGCTGAAGTAGCTTCCAACTAGCGTTAGGCCTAGGGGCCTATAATATTGCTTTATTTTCACGATACATATTCATAGTTTTTTCTCCGATCGAAAGGAGGGGGCAGGGAACCTAACGCGCTTTCGTGTGCATCTGTAGCTGTGTTCGACCAGGGAGTTGGTTCAATCAACAAGAGGCAATCACATCATCAGTCTACTTTAGTCTAGGCCCTACCCTAGGTCTAGGTGTCTAGACTAGCCTAGGCCTAGCCACAGAGTTGATGTTTTTTCAGCCGAGTGGTAGTTCAGATAGGTGGTTTTCCAGTTCAGGTATGCCTGGGCCTAGCTAGGGTGACATAAAGCGTGTCGCCGAATGCAGTATAACACTAGTAAAACCTTATATAATGCTCATACCACGCCGTTTGACAAATTCTGGATCGGCCCTTTGCCCCAGCGGGGGGGGGGGGGCTTAGGCCTAATCCCCCCCCCCCCACCGGACAGAGCTCGTCGGGCAGTCAGACCATAAAACATAAAATTAGGCCCACACCAAGCCAACACATGTCTGTCACAGTCTGAGGGTGCCATTTTCGGCCATCCAGATGTTGATATTGTTTAAAAAAATCTCATTTGGGAGGGGAACCTCCTCTCAACCCCTTCCTCCAGCTCATGTCCCCCAGAAAATATATCCTAGAGCCGCCACTGCCCTTATCGGCAAATTTCTGGAGCCACCACCACTGCTACACCGCCCCCCCCCCAGGTCCATTGAGGGTACATTTCCTATATGACCAATGTTTTCAATGGATGAAATTGTACACATTAAAATATATATTTAAACCTTTTCTCCATGTTTTTTTTATCCAGTAATTCATGGTCAAACATGGTACATACATGGCCTCTTCAATGGGGGGAGGGGTGCCAAATCCCTCTCCTTTGCTGGCATGTCTACTACTTGGTGTCTAACTTTACTAACTTAATTTTTTTTTCTCTCTAGAAATGGTGCTAAACTATGTACAAGTTGTTTCAAGTAAAATTGCTGTTGTAATCCTATTGTGGATTATAAGTTGTGAAGTGTACACATGTGAGTTACCAGATGATATTAAAATAACTGCTGATATTTTAGCAGACAACCAAGGAACCGATAATGTTGAGGTGTCAATCTTTGAATCTCCTGGTATAAAACTTGGACAAGCTAAGCCGAAGCTAGATATTGACCCCAGGGGGTACCTACTGTATTGTCCTTGTATGGGTAAGCACATTATTAGCAATATCAATTTGCTTCAATTTTAAATTATACAACTTTTCTAAATAATCTTTCAAAAAATTGTGCATACAAATAGTATTGTATGAGCTCATTTTACCCCTTCTTCTATATGCTAGATAGGCCTATGGATACTGTAAACTAGTTCTATTATGCTTTTTATTATTTTAAGATTTATAAAATTCACTAATAATTAATTAGTTCCTTGTGTCTACATTAAATAAATTAATTATCATTATTATTTTTATTTTTATTATTACTTTATTATTAATATTATTATTATAATTATTATTATTATTATTTAATTGTCATTGTTATTGTTGTTATTATTATTATTATGTTTATTATTATTAGTATCATTGTTTTTATTATTGTTTATTGCTAATATTATTGTTTTACTGGTAGGCATCTTGCACAGGGACATGTTCCCTTTTTGCCTACCACCACACTCTTTTCTTTTGAGTTTTGAGAGAAATTAAATTATGAATTATGATTAAATAATATTACTGTAGCTTCTTGTCCCTACCCCAAGAAACTAAAATGTGTACTGTATTTTGCTGCTGCCCCCGCTGCTGCCTCTATTTTTTTAGACCTGGCATAACCGAATGTATTCACTTGCAGATGTTTTTGTTTGGATTTCAGGGCGGTTTGGAAACCAGGCCGAACATCTGGTTGGTGCATTGGCATTTGCTAAGGCTATTGATAGAACACTTGCAATCCCACCATTCAGAACATATGTAGGTTGTTTTTTTTTATATTATTCAACTTCATTGAGGGTAGCAGGGATGGCAGAAGCATTTTTAGTGATTGGTCAGGCAGAAAACTTGGACATTTGATGTCCAAACTAACTAGTCCTTAGAAAATGGGAACCTCTTGGCACTCAGAATTGCAAGTTCGGACTTAATAAATGGTTCTTTGATTGTCTTACGCTGATGATAGAACAGGCACTCACAATATGATAGCAATAAAATGATTACTGTATGTTAAGATGATATTATACCATGCACCAGTGGTTTAGCCAGAAAAAACAAAATGGGCCGTCCAAAATGGAAGCCAGTGGCCCATTTATCGGCTCGGGGCCATGCCCCCTCCCAAAAATAAGAAAAAATAGAAAATTATGATCTTTAGAGGGCATTTAAAGATGTTTAAATGTTGGAATTTTGTCCTCAAAGAAATAGTGTTGAATTAGCTGTCACAAAGATATGTCAGTTATAGACAGAGATCATAGATGGTGCAAGGCTGCAGTTATGCACATAATGTTTCTAGGCTGTGCATCTTCATCTCGCCTTAGTCTAGTGTAAATTCTACTTTAGGATTTGAAAAATATAAAAAATTTGCTAAAGGTAGACCAGGCCCAATTAGGCTAGGCCGAGCTAATTAGGCCAAGCCTTCCAAGCTGTCACGGTAAAAGTGGCCATCCTTTCCAAACAGCCTGAGCAAAATTATATTGACTTAATGTTCCTTTGTTTATTAACATGTTCCTTTGTTAATGTTCTCATTGAATCAAAATGACCATCATGATTATATTTAGTCAAAACAAAGAATGTTTCATCAATGCATTATTTTCATTTAAACATTGTTCGACTTATCCTTGTGGGAAAAAATATAAAAACAACAAATGACTTACCAGGCATTGAAGTAATTAATTTGAAACTCTCGTCTCTGTATATATTGAGTAGATTACAATAGGTTTAGCATAACAAATTAACATCATTATTATTCAATATTGATCTTTAAAGAATATTCACCTGCTTTAATAGTAAACACAGTTAATATATTTCTATGATGTTCTGTGAAAATCTAGAAGGGGAATTACCTATTAATTAAGCTGGTAAATCCGGCTTTGGGAAAACACAATATTTACAAAATAAGTTAACATAGAAAATATAATATATTATTCCGGTGTTCACCCAGCAAAATTTACATTTATGTTATGTCTGTTGTTAAAATTTGGAAAAAATAAAACAATGAAATGAAAACAAGGAATTGCTCATTTTAAAAAATCAAATACATTAAACATTCAATGAAACACAGAATCATAACCCTTCAGTTTTGGGACTCAGCTACAGAATCCTATTTTTTATGAGCCAATGTAAACATGCAGGAATCTAATCTTAATTTAAAGCTAATTAACATCTTAAATATATACTGTACAAACAAAATATATACAAAATATTGAGTTTATATTCATGAGGCATTCAATCCCAAAACCAGGGCACTGTTGCTATATGTTAAACTGAGTAATTACAGTACAAGTATTAAAATGTGCCAGTATTGTATACTTGCATACAGAAAAAACATAATACAATATTTTTACTCATAGCTTTGGCAATAGTAAGTCAGTTTTCTTTTTTGGTCATTGAATGCTGGTTTGGATGGCATATGCCCCATAGTGTTTCGTATTTTAAAGATTAGATGAGACTTTCTTTATAATTTGTTTAGTTAACCCACCGACTGCCAATAATGATGATTTCTAATTAAAAAAAATAAAATTATATTTTTGGCCAATTAGCCACTGCCACAAAAAGTGGAAATTTCAGGAAAAAAATGTTCTTCTTTATTTTTTTTATGCCAGCTGCTGCCTTGAAATCTCCAAAACTATGATATGTATAATTCTTCCTAATTATGTAAATTCAAAGTATTTAACCATCCTATTACGACACTGTTCAAGTTCATCAATAAAATTTTATTTTTATTTTCTCCTCTGTCTGGATGTTTTTGGCAAAACACTTTGCTAAATTAAAAACCAAAATTTTATTTTTATTTTTTTCCACCCTCCTCTGACGATCTTTCAAAAACATAAGTTTGTGAAGCAAGGTATAAAAAAGACTCGACCTAACACAGGTACTATGCTTGTCTTTAAACTGGCCTTTCATTAACATACAAACTTATAAAATTATTGGATGGTGGATATATTTAACAATTTTTCTCAAAATTTCAAAATTCACTGTCTTCTTGTTCCCTATGGTGTTTATAGGTAAATGTACCTTTTAGTGATTGGTTTCAACTGGAAAGGATGCAGGAATTCCACCGTGTGCTCACCATGGAAGATTTTGTGGAAAGACTTGCCCAGGATGTTTGGCCATCGGGAAAACGTGTCGGGTACTGTGTGTATCCCCTATCCATGAAGAAGGCAGAATGTCAAATGAAGCAAGGTAAATATAGATAAAATAATAATGGTATGATAATTTGTAGTTATGAAAAATAATATCACTTTTCTTGGTCAGTCATCACCATGTGTGATATGACAGTCACCATGTCCATATACTTCATGGGCAAATAAAAGATTTTTTACAGAAACATTGAGTGTCGACAGAGCTGCATTACAGTAGGCTTCAGTGAAAGTATTTTACGTTGTGAATAGAAGCGTGTAGTTCAGTTAAATGTAGTTTGTTATTGTCATCTACCTCATCTTCTATCATTCCTTGTTTAATGACAATAAAATAAAGGCAGCTGGTATTGATTCAATTGATTGATTCCAATCCATACATATTAGAAATTGGTTTAAGACTGGTGTAACAATTGCGATTGCCAAAAATGAAGTAAATGCTTAAGAAAACAAATATGCTTTTTAAATTTCAGGGTCTCCATTTGGACCATTTTGGGATTCATTTCATGTTGATTTTGATAAAATGGACAAGTTCAGCCTGCCAGTCCATGCTGACCTCTCAAACTCTGATCATGTACTGAATACATTGAAAGAAAAATGGGATAGTAGGTAAGCTGGTCAAGATGGGTGTAATAATGTAAAGTGACTAAGCTTTTTTATTAAGCACTACATACAGTGATATACAACAATATTATTCCATACCAACTGTTAATGAAACTTAGTTTTATTTTTAAATAACGAGTTACTGTTTTGGTTTATATACCAAATATTATAAAATAAAACATAAGAATAGTATACATACAAGGAATGAGATGGTGTGAAACTAATAACTAATGTCCATAGTAAAAAAAGATTCAAACCTTTGTTTTTTTAAACACATTTATTACATTTATTTAATATATTTATTATATTATCCGTAAAAGCACAAAAATATGAATAAAATATGAACAGTATCACTTCCTACTCACACTTTTTAATATTGAATGTAAAAGATAATAATAAAATAATATTTTTGTTTTCATCTAAACAGTAGTCTAAACTCTGTTATTGTCCGTAGTAATAAAGATTCAAAACTTAGTTTTCATAAATACCCTATTATTAATAAAAGCACAAAAATATGAATAAAATATGAACAGTATCACTTCCCACTCAAACTTTTTAGTATTGGATGTAAAAAACAATAATAAAATATTATTTTTGTTTTCATCTAAACAGTAGTGTACACTCTGTTCAAATTCCATAGTATATAAAAATTAAAAAATATATACATTATTGATAAAAGCACAAAAATATTAATAAAATATGAACAGTATGACTTCCTACTTGAAATTTTAAGTATTGAATGTAAAAGACAATAGTAAATAGTATTTTTGTTTTCATTTAAACAGTAGTGGAGTCTGTTCACATGTTTAGTTCAAACCAAGGTTAAGAAAACCTCAAAAATTTCATTAAACCCTGGATAGCTCAGGTAACTTAATAACTTCCAACCAACAATCAACACAGTATACTTCATTTTATTCATTTTCTCTTAAGATTTCCTCCATCCGAGTATCCTGTTATAGCGCTGAAGGGCGCCCCCGCACCATATCCGGTATTCAGCGGCAACCGTTTCATTCAGCAATACATGAAATGGTCCGTAACAGTCGCTATCCAGATGAATGAAATAATTCAAAGGATGTTCAGCGGAGATAAATTTGTTGCAATACATCTTAGAAATGGATTAGATTGGGTACGTAATTTGCATAATTATAATTAAAATTGTATTTTTAGACGTCCTCCTGTGCATATAAGTTCATAATTTACTCAACAAAATAGTGCTTTGCATTCATATTATTGGTTTTACTCCCTTTAGCATAATTTGCCTAACTCATACTTCACTCAACATAATCTTATTCCCTGCCCTAACTAGTTTACTTTACTCAGGATAGTTCAGTCCCTCTTCTTAACTTATTTTACTTCACTTTAGAATATTATTCCACTTCTTCCATAAATAGTTTACTTTACTCAGCATAATCCCATTAAACTCATTCCCTCCCCTTGATTGGATCATCAGTCATAATGATTTGCATTGTACTGTACTCAAATCTTTAACATAGATCTGATCAGCAAGACTGAGGGCGCTATATAAAAAAAATGTTTGTATCACATTTATAGTTATCATTTCTTATAATTGACAGGTGCGAGCATGTGAACATGCAAAGGGCATAAGGCAGTTCATGGCATCCCCACAATGCAACACACCAGCTGAAAGAAATGTAACCCACGCCATGTGCTTACCCAGTGAGCAGGACATCTTAACATTGACAACCAGGGCATTAGAACAAGAGGGCGCTAAACATCTGTACATTGCAACAGACAGTGAATCATATGAAAAACAATTTAAAGAAATTCTAGAACCTAAAGGGGTTTGTAACTTTTTTATATATTTTGATTAACTTTCTATTCAACCACTCTCTGATTTAATTACATAAACATACTACGCTTTATGTATTTAATTTGTTTTGTGGCCAAAGGCCAAAATACACGTATAATGTTTGAAAATGCCACTCTTGTATTTTTTCATGTCCACTTTTTTTACCATTTTATTCCTATTATATCTCATTTCTGTATGAGAGTGCATTTAATGTCATCTAGATGTGTATAAGAGACAGCATTTTACCCCTTCTTCTATATGCTAGATAGGCCTATGGATACTGTAAACTAGTTCTATTATGCTTTTTATTATTTTAAGATTTATAAAATTCACTAATAATTAATTAGTTCCTTGTGTCTACATTAAATAAATTAATTATCATTATTATTTTTATTTTTATTATTACTTTATTATTAATATTATTATTATAATTATTATTATTATTATTTAATTGTCATTGTTTCAATTTGAGTGGAGCAGCTCTTGCTGGGGCCACTCCTGCCCATACAGCTACTTCCTGAGATATTTAGTAGAAATAAAATCAGTGTGCAACAGCTGTCTCTTATACACATCTAGATGTGTATAAGAGACAGGTATCATGTGTATTTACTATAGTTTCAACTGTGGGTTGTGTCGTATAATTACTGCTACTCATATCACATCTTTTCCCATCCGCCATGGCTCAGCACCATAATAGCAATATTTTCTTTCATGATTATAGGCCTACCGGTTTCACTTCGTAAACATAACGTTATAGCAGGGGCGTCGGACCGCACCGGCTTTCTTTCATATAATTACTGTTACTCATATCTCATTTACCCACTATTAACATGCTCAGTGCCATAACTGTCTCTTATACAGAGTCCATATCTTGATCGTTGTGAGATTAACTACTGTAACACTCTTCTTGTAGCTTTCGTTGATCATTATTCAGATGAGTCAATTCCAGCTTAGATGTCCAATCATCATTGATTGCATTTGCCTCTAAACTAGCAGTCTGTATTACCATACGCATGCATGTCCTTACTACTACTGTCCTCCAGAGCTCCATGATACACAGCTCTGTTGTAGTTTCCCTAAGTAAGTGTTTTTTTTGGTATTATTAAATTTCTGTCAGTTCTATTGGTCACTGGAACATCCATGTAATTGTAAGACAGGCATTCTAATTTCACTACATTTTCGTTAGCTTCTAGTCCACCGGGTAGTTGTGATTCTAGTAGAGGTTTGAACAACACTACCATCTTCTTGTTAAAGGAATCTCAGTGGCTACTGGATCGAATCAACCAACGAAAGCCTTTATGGTCTAGTTAGTAAGACATTCGCCGTTTAAGCGCAAGGTTCCGGATTTGATTCCCGGTGGAGGCTGAGATTTTTTTTTTCATTCTCAAAATATTCCTCTACTACTACGTTAATAATTATATATATATATATATATATATATATCTAATATAATAATATTTATTTGGTTTGTATTTCAGTTTGAGAGAAAAATACTTGAGATATCATTCCATTAATGTTTTTATACAATGTTTACATTTATTTTTGTGTTTGTGATGATAAACTCGAACAAGTTCATAAAATTATTTTCTTGTACACCATATTGTATTGTAGGCCTATAGGATTATTCATTTTCTGTTCATCGTTTTATTATGTTGGGGAAGGTCTGCACATTAGACTGCTTATAGTAATGTTCAATTTTACCTTGTTAAAGATATATTAATGCACTCTGAAATATCGGTGTTATACAAATCAAAGATTTATTTTATTTAAAAAAATAATAGAAAGGTACGTTAGAAGTATTTATATTTATATATTTAGGGCTTGTATTAGATAAAATATTATATTTTATGAGGTCTCACTTTAAAGCCCTTCTTATCAAAAGTACTTTTATTAGATAACAAGTCAATAAAATGAGCACTCAAAATGTTGTACAGGTGTTTTGTGTTAGAAATAGCGCCACCAACGTGGATCAGTTTACCGTCACCTTTCTAAAAATGTTTCCGAAACATAGGCTCGTGTTTATTAGTTCTATCTAAAGCTATAGCACACTTTAATTGCTTCTTCAATATTTATGTTCGCGGGCAGTGAAGAGTGAGCCTTAATTTAAAAGGGATTAACGTTATACAGTAATAAAGGGACTACTTTTTATTGTTGGGGGAGTCTAATAATGGGAATAAACACAATAATGTATGATGATAAAACAGATTTACAACGTCTATAATCATGATCGTGATGTATCATGTGTATTTACTATAGTTTCAACTGTGGGTTGTGTCGTATAATTACTGCTACTCATATCACATCTTTTCCCATCCACCATGGCTCAGCACCATAATAGCAATATTTTCTTTCATGATTATAGGCCTACCGGTTTCACTTCGTAAACATAACGTTATAGCAGGGGCGTCGGACCGCACCGGCTTTCTTTCATATAATTACTGTTACTCATATCTCATTTACCCACTATTAACATGCTCAGTGCCATAATAGCATTACTGTATTTTTTTAATGGAGGTTACCGTCCACAGTTTCATTTCGTGATGGTGTATGTCAGTTTAGTGTATGATGGAATGATCTATCAATTTTACGTAAAAAATAACTTTATGATAACGAGTTAAGATAACGTTAATGAGCATCAACGTCGTCATAAAGTTATTCTCTGACCTAAGCTATAAGCACAACGTTCACAAATACAATAATAATGTTTTATGTTTGCTGGGGAGGTGTTATTTATTATGGCCTACCTCCCTGGTGAAATTAATTCAAATAATGTACCGCTCCTTATAAAAGGTATCCACATGTGGCGTTCTACCAAAAAATAGTTCGGACCAATTTCATTCAAGATAACTTAGTATAAAACATGCTCCAAATAAAGTGAGACTAGTCATTTTGATTTAATATTTCGATCTTTTATTATATCATTATCAGGAATGAATAAAGATTCCAACATTACAAACATATATTCCAAAAGTGTAACAGAAAATTATTCAAGTCGACGGTATTCTAGAGAGCTGTATGGGATGTAGATGACTGATGAAATCTGTTAATATCGAAGCCCTAACGCTTGCTATCCAGTTAGGCTACAATAAAGATTCGTCATGTGATTTGATTAATTACCGAAGTCCCAATTACAGCGATGTGTACCATTGTGATAATTCATTTTCTTTGAGAGGTAGGCTAACCTCTCAATTTTCGCCTTAATGGCACTGGATTGGATATATAATTATTGCGGATTATCATACTAGTTGAGAGTAATTAGCTAGGTGTCTCCTAGACACTCTGCATATTGCGTTGGGCCAATACCGTAGGCCTAATGGTAACATCTAAAAAGAGAGTCTTAAGTTCATACGAATGTCCTAATTACAGTGGGCTACGTAATAATATAGCTCAGGCTTATTCTCAATCTTACGTCAGACATGATCTATCATACTTACTTTGGATTGATAAAATAATGTAAATACAACAAGATGCTTCCTTCGTCCGTAAGAACAGTCAACTCAGAGAAATGTGAGGAATAAGCTATCCCATTAATCATTTAATAATGAATAAACGAATGAAAGTGTTGTTGGCTGTAATCCTTGGGTTTTCCTTTATTCTCCTTTTATTCTTCAAGGTCTGATGTTTGTTTTGCAGGAGGTGGGTTGGGGTAAGTGGGTTAACTTTATTTATTTTATCGCCGCTTGTAAATTATATAATTATAAATAAGTACATTGAAGTATTGTGTACTTAGGCATAAAACTTAAGTGAATCTCTGAGTAGTAGTAGAAGCCTATAATAATAATAACGCCACTCTTCCGCAGAGAAAAGCCTCAATGCGCCTTACAGCAAGTAGTAAATATTTTTGACTACTTAGGTAATATTCATTTTCAATTAATTGTATTGCTAATTGTGTAGCGAGATATCTACAAATAATATCTCTTCTTGATTTTACTTTCTCTGTAACCCAATAAAATATGGATTTTCGGCATCCGACAGATGGTAGAGTTTGCTTAGTGAAATTGCAGATGCTCTGCGGTCCGATACCTCGTAGGCATGCTTGACGAAGATGAAAAACAGTAAACGTTTAATTAATCAGCATTGATTGAAACAATTAGCTCGATTGTCAGACAGTTTTTTTTAATATGAACTGTTCCATAATTCCAACAAATACTATTATGATTATAATAATAATAATAATAATAATAATAATAATAATAATTATTATTATTATTATTATTATTATTATTATTATTATTATTACTATTATTACTATTATTATTATTATTGGTTTTTTTTTTTTGGTTTTGTTTTTGTTTATGTTTTTTTTGTTTTTTTTTTGTTTTTTGTTGCTGTTGTTGTTACAGTTGTCATCAACGTCACTCATTCAGACTATTCATCATCAATATGCTGTGATCATCTCGGCACATTATTACCACCATCACTGTCATCATTATCATCACTACTCAGCCATCATTAATAACGTATCGAACACACGACATCAGCACCATCGTCTTTTATCATCATTGTTTAATAAATGTCTTCCCATACATACAACGCTTTATCGAAGATAGGTTGAATAAAGTGAGGGGTCATGTGTCATTTAGAAATACATCCTCAAGCGGCTGTGAACACAACCGTAACATTGGTCGCAAGTAACCTATCCATTACTAATGATAATCATAATTTTCATCTATATTTAATGACAGCCGTTCTGGTGACTGCATATCTCCATGTCATTAAGCACTAACACAATAAGTAACAGAGGTGACGTAGAGTTTATCGCTCCCTTAGCCGAAGGTACTTTGGGGAAAATTTGTCAAGTTATTATGATGATGACAACAGACAAATGCTGGAAAGTCTTTTTGTAGTCAAACTAATCATTGAAATCTCTTTGAAAAGTCAATTTTCTTTCTAAGAATAGATGATTTTATTGACGATTTCACACGATGAACATGATGGCAGTGAAGAAAATTTCAACAAAAAACATGAGTTGAATTTTCAATTACCATGCTTGGAAAAATTACAGTTGTAGCAAAATATCTGAAGGGGTTTTTTTTATACCTATATTTGGGGTTAAAATATACTTTGCTTATATATAAAAAAACAAAAAAACAAAAAAAAACGGTTCTGTTGGTGTCACCTACAATTGCAATGTAGAAACTAAGTCAATGTAGATCAGTGACCTGTAATCTGGAGAACTTTTGGAAGGTGGGGGGGGGGGTGGTTTCTAAGCAAATCAGTCCTTATTATGCAATGTTCTCATCACATGGTATTTGCCATCGCTCTCATTGCTGGTGAGAAAAAGTTCGTCAAGTGATCGCCAGAAAAAGATTAACTTGTCAAAACCTGAACATCTTTCCCAGCAATCACTCCCTCTTGCTTGTCTCTCATTGGCTGAACACTCGTTAATTCTGACGTATAAGGAATTCCCTCGTCAAGGCTTTCTTGTTCCGTAGCAACCGGCATGTAAGGTGGGAAACTAGAATCAGCAAAAAATGACAGTTCACCAAATCCGTCATCGTCAATTCGACTTGAAAAACTCGGAATCAAAAGTGACACAGCCAAAAGGACGCCTCCAACGCATAACAAAACAAGACCAACCAACTTCGCTGTGTTTAATCGTTCATTAAATTGAATTGCATCTTCGTCGACAATATCAATATTATTCTGGACATCTTGAATCTCTTTTCTGGGATTTACTAAATACCCTATCAAGCTTATGATTACCGAGAGTATAAGTAGGTTGAACCCGACCCACGCACACGCTTTCCACCACCATATTCCACATCTGCACCGTTTTCTTCTAAGGCTTTCTCTACCGAATCGTCGGTATCCCGAGCAACTTTGGTATCCTTTCGGATTTTCGTAGAAATTATGTAGATATGATCTTACTCCAAATTCCGAACCATGGGGAGAGTCGTTGGCACCGACGCTTACATCGCTTTCTGAAACGCTTTCCAGCCTCGGTGGACGCGTTAACTTTTTCCGTCGCGCAGACGCAGGGAACTGTCTTCTGTTACTGTCTTCGTCTGTTGTTGGTGCACTGACTCTGTTGTTGCCACTACTACCACCACCACCACCACCACCACTGATCTCAGTCCTACCCTGGCAGCTTTTGTCGGCCATGTAGCTCGATTACTGACGTAGTCCTGAAAAAAAAGAAAAAAAAAACACAACGATATCATTAACTCTCTATCAATAGTTTAGTGTAGTATTAAAATAATTTTAAAGTCTAGAAAATGCTACATGTAGCATTAATATAAATATTGTAAGTCCCTTAAATACTTAGACATAAAGATCAAAACTATGCCGCTTTCTGTAAGCATAATACTTAATTGATTATGACACTTTTCTTAATACTGTTTGTCTGATATTTACCGCTGATGTATTTTTTTTTATCAAGCTGGCATGTGAGATTTTGTAAATGGTGGAGGACAAAGTGAAATGTTGTGCAATAGAATTTTTAATGAAGACAACATTTGTAATAATATTTAGCAAAACATTATTTAACATTCTTGTTAATTCAATGAGCTTTAAAAATGCTTTCACACTGATGGCAATTTTAGAAGCATTCAGTTGTCATCTATCTCGTTTAATGATACCTTTTAAAAATGATTTTTTATCGTCATTAACATCATTTTATCATCATTAACAAAATAAATGTCTTGTCTTGACATTGTATTATCTTCTGGTAAATAAGCATTGTGATTTTAACTTAAGTCTAAACAAAATAATTTTTCAATTTAGTCAAAATATACTAATGGAAATTTTAATTCAAAAGTGTTGAAGTAGGAATTTTCACATAAGCTGATTAATCTAATTTACGTACAATACAGCTGAATTAATTTACATTTAAGTAAATATATTTTATTTATGTTAAATACAATCAGTGTAAGCAAAATATATTTTTGTTTAACGCATTATAATTTCACTGAAGTACATTTTAGAGGTAGATGATGATAAATTGGCTTGACATACGGTCGACACGTTTTGAGTCAGTTTTGTGTTAATAAGTAATTTTCCAGATCAGACAATTAATTGAACGTGTGTGCCATGTCAGTAATAACCATCACGGTGTGAGATTATACAAGATGGCGCGGAGCTAAATTCCATGGCATTTATTGAAGCATCTTGTAACGACTGAGTGTATGGAGAATAAAAAAAAAATAACCTGTGACAAAGTATGTATGCTGTGTTACCCAAGAAACAACGTCATCATCAGTCCGTAATGATGTATTGTAAGTACGGAGTAAAATGTTACATGTACAGCCGACGCTTGTTATCAATCATGACAGGAAAGCAACCATCGTGTCACGTGATGTAACTTCCACGGTTCTTTGTGCATTTCATTATGATCGGTTTTCATTTTCCAACATAAAACAATTTATAAGCTACTTCGATTTGATCGAATATTCTGGCAATACAATGATATCTATCACAGATTTGTTTTCATAAACGTCGACGTCCAATTGATGCCTCAATATTAATACATTATTTTCGATGTTTCATAGACAATTAAGACAATTCTCTCTCTATGGTTCTTGCAATCTAAAAATGAGATGAAATATCATTTGCATGGCGACGTAGCTCTTGTAATAATGTGAACACAAGAATTAGTTGTAGACCTACTTTATTTGGCAATGATACTGATTAAAAAAATACACACACCTACCTCCTCACATCACAAAGTAACCAGCATATGGGCCTACTCAGACACTAAATAATTAGGTGTACACTGCATGATGTTGTCAAATAACAGGAAGACAGGACATGCCCCTAGCGAAAAACTTGATTTTAAAACGAAGCAAAGGCGAACACACTCTCAAGATTAAGCACCTTTAAGTACTCTACCACTACAGGCAAATGCACTATCAAGATTAACGCAAGAATATTTGTAGTTAAATATAAATAGGCCTCTTCACGTATCGTTTCAAATTCTTTTCAGCAAAAGATAAGAACGTATTATTCTTTTCTGCTCCATGTGTATGTGCTTCTTTTATTTATTTGTTTCAACATTAAAATTTAGAGGAAAAACAACAGGGAACAAGTATATAAAGACAGGAACACCCCAAAAAGACAAATAGGCCTACCTACATATAAATGTTTTATAAAGCATTTAAAGTTAAAATTAAAATAGTAAAAACACGCATAATTTTTAATTTTGGCATTTAAAATATTTAAATATTTTGATGGATGCCATAAAATTTATTTGAAAAAAATGCAAATATAAAATATTTAAATATTTAAAAGCTATCATTGATAGGCCGGTTAACAGAGAAGAACTCATATAGGGCTCCCATGTTTGTTACGTGAAACTAGTTGTACCAAGGAGGTAACTTATTTTTATACCTCCTTGTTTGTACTGTACTGTTTTTCCAATCCAATTCTCACTCTCGAAGCTCCGTTGACAAGAAGACCCCAATCCGTAGAATGATTTAGTTATGTACAAATTGAATAATAAACTACAACCATAAATGATAATGAGTAATCTTAGGAATCATGACATTTATGCCCTCTCTCAACTCGACATATCACGTATAAACCTGCCCTCCAAGATCACATTTTAATCCAACCTGATGGATGCTACTGTATAACTATCTACACGAAACAAAAGCTTGTAGTAAAATAAATACAAATGCAGTTTGTATGTATTATATTATATTCATGTTATAACATATAGAGTCCTGTATATACAGTATACGTATTAATCTTATTCGTAGTTTGCCAAGAACTAGCAATGTTCTGTGCATGTGCAAGAGTGTGACATTAATTGCCTCTAATCCGATTCGAATTCCTAATGAAACCCCAACGGCCCAGTTGGCGTCTGCAGAGAGAGAAAAGGCCTGGGTTCCAAACCTGCAGACAGTACTGTTTCGGTCTTGTTAGGACTCATCAGTGCAGCTCAGGATTTCAAGAATGAAACACACTACTGACTCAAACATGGTTTGTGTCAGCCCTGTGTGACGTGGTACACTGATTATGAATACAAGAGTGCACAAACCCAAAATGAGTGTGCTATGCATAAATG